GGGCGGCCAAAATTGTGTTTGCTTAGGGCGGCAAAAATCCTAGAGCCGGCCCTTATGGTCCTTAAAGGGAATAGGGGTCAAAGCCTCGTTAAGAAGCCTTGCCTAAAAGGCCACGAGGCTCAGCATATTTCTTCCCTCTTCTCTCCCTCCCCCCGCAAACAAACAGACCCCACTATATACTTCAGTCAAGGAGCAAGCACACAACCAACCGACAAACTCACCCCAAGATCACATAGTCACTCCTCCTTCACCTGGAGAATTATCTTGCAAAACTCCTGTTATCTGCTCCTGTGCACAGTCGTTCAATAGTTCAGTCAATGGCTTAAAATAAAGCTTCAGGTTTTTTTTTCATATACTAAATATTGCCACAGAGTCTGGTTTATTCCCCAGCCTGTAACCAATCTCCTGGGAGTGACCCTTTTAATATGCTGTGTCCCAAGGACCCACACAGTTCCACAGGGACAGGCCCATGGCCTCTGCAACTCTGAGACTGGGCCTTCAGCACCAGCGATCCTTGTCTGTCTCAGTGGCTCCTTGCAGCGAATCCTGCCAAGCCAGAGTCCTGCAAAAGGCTTATATTGTGCCCCCTCAGGGTACAATGTTCTGAGTGAATATTTACAGAAATACAGGCAGGCATTTCAAAACAATATAACCATTTATTAGTCACCTGGAGTATGGAAGGTTAGGTTAGCATAGAGAGGCAGAAGTTAAGCCATGGGCCATCCTGGTGAAACCAGTGCCATGATGAGTCAGCCCAGCTATGATGATGGACTCCATCTCTGGCTCCCTCTCACGTCCTTTTATTCATCCAGTCAGAGTTCCTGTGTCCCTCCAAAAGGGCCGCCTTTCTTTCCAGTCACCTTTACACCTTGTTCTCCAGCTCAGGTCACAAGTCCCGTATACTGGGGTTTCCTGCTGTTAGGTATGGATTGTTCAGTCTGTGGGGCATCTATTTGTCATGTCAATCACCCTCTGTTGATTTGGGTCGGCTTCACACAGTTTTTTTAACGACTCTTCATTTCACCAGACAGCAAGGTGACCGAAGGGCAAACACCTCCTGTCTCCTGTACTGTTCCAGTAGCAGTGTTAATCCTTTTGCACCCACTGGGTAGCAATGCAATGTACAGAGGGAAACTGAGGCATGCTAGGTTTCATAAAATATTTTACAGAAAATTCCCATTGTGTCAAAAACATGAACTGAGGGATAACTCTATAGCAGCAAAATAATTATAGTACAGCAGGATATTATGAGTTTGTAAAGTATAAAAAGCCACAAAATATATATTGGGTTAGTATTAAGTGACTAATAACTTAAGAAAAATCAGTGAAATTAACATCAGAATCATATTGCCCTAAACTTTTTGATGAAATTATGTTGAATTGTTTGGAAAGGAAAATTTTTTAAAGTTTTGGAAAATATCTGTTTGAGAACTTGCCAATTGTATTACATGCTGATTTCTTTTATTACAGGGTTATAAATCCTATACAAATAGGTTTTGTGATAAAAATACAGACAAACTTAATAGCTGTTGCTATAATTTGACATGTATTTCAGAAACAAAAACTCATAAATGTCACTTGAGACTACTACCAACCATCTTCAGTTTGTAAAATTCCAATGATTACCATGACAGATGTGAAGCTATGGTACACAGTAAAGAGTATGAATGAAGAACTGCAGGCTTACAGCTCTGTTAAATGAAAAATAGGTCTGGCTCATGTACTTGGGAGCTTCTCAGGGTTACATAAGTCTGAAAAATCTGCTTATATGGTCTGCTGGCAGGTGAAGCCAGTTGTACTGTCTTGAGTGAAAGACTTAAGATTTCATTTCTGTGATTTCTGAGAGTTATGTTTAAAAAAAACAAAAACCCAAAGCATTCCTAGAGACATGACAAAAAGTCTCTTGGTTAACTAGCAGAGTAGGCTTACTGAGGGATGCGGGCAGTAGCTTCCATATTATAGGGTTTTTTTTAAACTGCATTTGTCAGCATAATGCTTAAGTACCTTATGAAGAAGGATTACCACCACAGTGGGTGGTGGTCTGGTTGTGAGATGCAAACCTGGAAACAAAGATATTTTCCTTCACTGTACGATTATTCCTTAATCATAAAACCTTTTTTTAAAGAGCAAACTTAGTGGCTATTAGCATTTGTAACTGCTTGTGCCACTGTTCAGTTTTCTCTTGGACATATGTTCTCTGTCGCTAGGACGTTATGATAGTCTGATAACCAACCATATTGACTGGAACTAATGTGAGACTAGGGAGAGGTGTTGGCAAGAAAAGGCTCATATTCTGCTTGCCTTACTGAAATGAGTATTCCTTTTGAAATGAGTGGGATTGCTCATGTGAGCAGGGCAAGCAAGACTGGTCCATTACTTCACTCAAGGATTCCATTCAACTATTGAAAGCATCAGTAGTTACTAACCTAATCTTTCTTCTGCTTTAAAAAATATTGAGTTTATGTAAATATTGGCTTCATATTATTTTACAGGAGTCAACTTATCATCACATTCAAGAACTAATGGTACAACTACTACGCACAGTGAACAGGACTGTTATTTCAATGGGGAGAGATGACACCTTGATAGTGAGTAGTATTTTTAAATGATTTTTTTTTTAAAAAACGTCTTCAGCATGCCTTAAAGATGGGTTTTCATGCAAACCCATTTTATTCCATTTTTTCTACTAATGCTGTATCTGCAATATTCATTCTTGGTCTTTTGGCAAACTGGTTTTCAGGTTTCAAATACAGGAGCTAAATCATGTTCACCCTCTTAACACAAGCGGACTTGTTACAGACAGGATGAGCACAACCCTGAATATTTCCAGCAGGATTTGGGCCTTAGCCACTGTCCTGTTTATATGTTAATCCCTTCCGTGTTGAAGTGAGTTACTGAATACCTGTATTTTAAGGGGAGAATCTACCTCACAGAAAACAGTGTTTCTATTAATTTAAAATGAAAGTACCTGCTTAAAGTTGGTTGTCTGAATAGCTTATATAAAATGATTTTACCTGCAGCCCCTTCAGCATTTCTTCTGCTGAGTTTCAGAGATCTCTTGCTTTTCACAGCATTAGGACATTATCCTTCTTATCAGAAAGGAGACTGAGAGATGACTTGGCTACAGTGTATAAATACCTTCACAGGAAGGAAACACTGGTTACTAAAGGTCTCTTTAATCTAGCGGAGAAGGGCTAAGAAAAACCAGTGGCCATGCAAATTCAAATTAGTAATTAGGCACAATTCTTTAACAGTGAGGGGTGATTAATCATAGAAACAAACTAGGAAGGGAAGTGGTGGATTCTTTGTCTCTTGATGTCTTCAAATCAAGCCTGGGTGCTTTCTGGAAAATATGCTTCAGTCAAACACAAGTTATTAGGCTAAATACAGGGTTAACTGGGTGAAATGTAATGGTCTGTGATATACAGAAAGTCAGACTTGATCTAAAAGTCTCTTTTGGGCTTAAACGCTATGAATCTATGGAACTAGCTGATTTTTTGGCTCTGTGTCTGGAAGGAAGATGAAAAGTCTATCTTTTGTCAATGACTCTTTACAGTGGGAACATCAATCTCTTGTCCCAATCTGGTGAATGCTGCATGCAAAAGGCCATAGTCACTGGGGATGCTAACCTCAGTGCAGGAGATGCACAGCTCCATGGCCTGGGAATGCTGTGGGGGCAGAGCCAATGGTTTTAGGGTTACTGCTGCTGATCTATGATTTAATTTAGGGGCAGATTCTGTAGTGCTTTCTGTGTTTACTCTTATGAATAGTCCCATTGATTTTAATAGTACTACTTGTAGGGAGTAAAAGTTGCAGAATCTGGCCCTGCATTTGTATATTGTTTGTTGTTAGGCTGGGAAAGTGGCTGCATGGGTCACAAACTTTGTTGAGACTGATGGGTGTGAATGCACCCTTCACTTAATTTAGCTGTAAAGATGAATTAATCACAAGCCTCCACCTAAGACAAAAGGGGTATGTGAACCCCCCCAGATTTAGACTAGGGTTACCAGTGTAAGCGGGGGAATGGTCCCGCTATTGTGGGGAACTTTCCTGGCTTATACACTACCTCGGTGAAATGGGCTAGCGAAAGGATCTGACTCCTTACTCCCACTTCCTTTACCCAGAGGCCTGCCTGACCTCAAGGGCTCCCCTTCCACTCTCCTGTGTGGCAGAGTCCTCGTAACCACGACAAGGTTGGGGGTTGAGCCCCCCAGGAATCCTGGGCCCAGCCATGTTGGTGTATAGCTCTGGAAGAAGCCTGGGGAGAGGTTTACGGGTGGGATGCAGGCTGAAAGAGTGCTCTTGGTGCTGTGAGCAAATTAAGCTACTTTGAGACACAGGATGTTGTAGATAAACAAAACTGCATCAAAGAAATACCTGATTACCACCTATTTCTACCCCTAACTAGGACAATCTGCTAGACCCCTGAACTTCTGGGTAGCTGCTAGGGTCAAAAGGGGTAACACTTTGGTTTTGAGTATGGTGAATGATCAGAAACCAAATCTAAATCACAAATACAAGCTAAATTTCAGCAGGCCTACTAGGATGAGTACTACATCATGAAGATGGGGTTTGTTGCAGTCAGTTGAAAAGGCATGTGGATAAGCAAGTACTTTTACTGTAATTTATGAGTAAGCTTAGCTTACTCATAAAAATTGCACTCAATGTTAAGGTCCAAACCTGGATGCCTGCGTGCATCCCATTGTATTCAGAGGTACATGCCTTTCAGATGCACATGCATATTTGGCCTTAAGATATCCTCTATCAAAACAACATCCCACGTATGAGATGTAGAGCCTCTTAACAGAATTGACCTGTGTGACCAATAAAGAAGAATCTCTGTTTTTATTTAAAACAAAATAAAAACACTTTCCTTCCACCAAATCCCTAAATCAAAAACAAACAAGCCACCTAGACTTTGTCCGTGAAAAGATAGCATGGAAAATGTGGAGTGGTGCAAACTGCTCACTAGAGTCGACAGGGATGGAACACACTGCTTCCGCAATCCATCTAACTGCTAGTAACCTAAGTACTTGAAAGACTAGAACTGGCAAAAGAAACCAAGGATTACAACGTAGAGATCACAGCCACTGTTTCTTTGGGCTGGTGTATCAGAATTGTTTTCACGATTCTTGATGTGGCTAAACAATTTCTGAAAGTTCTGGCTACTATAACTTTTAGAGGTGATCTGCATAAGTATGCAGTGTGGCTTTCTACAGAATGCGTAGATAATCTGAGGTCTACTATAAAAACTATGGTGCTTGAGACTCTAGAAATAAAGATAGGATGCTGTGGGATAGCTGAAGCCATTTTTAATTAGTGTTTTCTGTAGAAAATTTTAGTTTTGATGTTGGCTTGCAGCTATCATTTGGACAGGTGTAAGTTTCAAATTTAATTGAAGCTCCTTCTGAGTGTGGAAAGCAGAAAAAAAGTAACCTCAAATAACTTATGAAATCCTTTTAGAAGGGATACAATCCACCATCTCATCTAAATTATTGCTGTTCTATGTAACGTACTACAACTATGGTACTTGAAATGATGCCTGATATGAACTGCTATGACAGTTACTATAACAATGTCAACTTAGCTTAAATCTAGTAAACCTAAACTAAAAAATAAATTTGAAGTACATTTGATGCCGACTCCCTGTGATGCTTTTTGGATTTAATATATTTATCTTTTTTTAAGAGTTTGTTTACAGTGTGAAGAACAGTACAAACAACAGAAATTGACTATACAGGGGAAATACTCAAAGTGATTCTACCGAGTGACGCCATTGCACAGAGGGAACAAATGGGAAAAGCCATTTTCTTTTTTACTAATCTCTTTCAATTACACTAATTAAGCACTACTTGTAAACACAGCAAGTTAAAACATTTCAGACAGAAGCCTGAGTAAGCCAAAGGTATCCCTTTAGATTTTGATCTCAACTTTGGAGGGAAAAAAAGATGAGTAGACAAGTTTACACATTTTATTTAAAAATGTAATGAATGCAATAAAAATAAATAATGAAAGTAAATGCTCCCCTGCAGTGTTTGAAACAGCTACATTGCAGCATAAAGAAATCAACTGCGAAACAAACTATAAATGAACTGAAAGTGACTTTATTCTCTTATGTGCATTTTTCTGAGCTTGGTCACTGAAAATAAGAGAGGAAAAAAAGGGTGATGAGGAAATTGGATTTGAATTTTGTTTTGGTGTAACAAGGGTGTCACTAGTAGCATTGTTAAGGACATTAGTTTACTTGCACGATATAATTTTAGGTGAAAAGTGTCGCTTTAATTTTGTAGTCATGGAGCTCCAATGACCTAATACCAAGTGCAGTGTGGACACTTCCCCCTGTAAATGTGCAGAATTACTGTGACACTAATATTGCTAGTATTATGGAACTAGGAAGACACCATTTTAAGTGACTAATTTTGCCCTGATATTCCTAGGGTCGTAATGAACCAAATGAAAGTCAGTCATCACAGCAAAAATTGATGGGAATATAAAAAGTTTAAATGCCTCCTGGTTCCCTTGTCCTTGTGTGCAGAGAATGTAAATTCTTTAAAAAAAAAAAAAAAAAGTCAGAACAAGTAAAAAGCTTGTTAGAAACTATTTGTGACAAGAAATTGTCACATGAAGAAATTCAATGGGAGATTTTAAAAGGGAACATCATGTTATTTTAAAAGAAAATATTCAATGCTGTTAATTAAAAGAAAAGATTTCATTATAGCAGATGTAGAGGGATGCTGACGGTTATGTCCAAATGTCATTGTTCTGTGAAAGACAAACAGTTGCTAAAGTCTAACACTAAAGAAGATGAGTAAATCTTTAACACTCAGATTTTTACAAGTATTTAGGCATCACTGCAAGGAGCATTGCAATGCTTAACTGAGTTAGGGGTCTAAACTCCATCCACTGTCAATGGGATTAAGAGCCTAAATCTCTTTTGAATATGAGATTTTTTACTCCTAAATCAGTGATGAGTGCAACAACTCCTAAATACCTTTTAAAAATCAGGGGGCTACATCCTTCCTTTTAAGGCAAAATTGTCAATGAGAGTGAGGGCCTCAGTCAGGAGTGTAGGATTTTGCCTGGGAATGTTTTGATGTAATTTAAATGAAAAAAAGTTTTATATTTAAACATTGGCTACCTCTGTGTGAACCCAAATGTGACAACATCAGGCTGGTGTCCCTCCAACAATAAAACATGGAACTAGAAATGAATACAGGCCCCTTTCACTATCCATGTTTAAATAAATTGAAAAAGTAAACCACACAAATGTGGAAAATATAGATTTAAAAATGCCCTTTGGGTCAGTTGTATCCTAGGTTCAACTTGATTGGGTGTAAATGGAGTTACAGCTAGGATGAATTTGTCCCTTTTGCTTAAAATTTAATGGGGGTGATAACAGGCTTGTAAGTGATTTTTTTACTTGAAAAATGAAACCTGCTTTCAAAGCGTCTTCAGAGATCAAATAGCCTGCAGTATAAATGCATGGAGTATGAGTAAAAAGGGTCACTATTTAGATCAGACACAGACTTATTAAAATGATTTCTGGTTGCTTTTGTAGTCTGGCAGCTAGAATAAGGTGAGTCAGACA